TTCTTACTTTATGAAAAGAAGTGTTTGTTTGTTGCTGGGTCAGACTCAGTGCTTTCTGCAGAATTGGCGATTTCACAATACCTCCGTAGTGTCAGCACCAGTGTCATCCCTGGTGGCCATGTCTCGTCCAGCGCCCACTGTGAGGGTGACTGCTGTGGCCTTTTGCAGTTGCCATCTCTCAGAGATTGATGAATTGATTGTGGAGCTGCTGCCAGTGTGTCTGTGCCCTGGACCAAGGCGTCCCGGTTACGGGTGGGAATCCCAGCTATGGCATCTGGCCTGGGGCTACCATTGTGGCTGTCCTGCAGGAGGCCCTGGGGGCCAGTGGCCCTAAGAGCAGCTCTAACCCACATACTGCTGTCACACCCCTGGATACACAGCAGCACTTGCCCAGACATGGACCTGTGATTGGCTCACACAAGGCCAAACTGCCAAACTATGTAATTCAACAGAGAAACTACCTGATTGTGCCAAAAAGGTCTTGATGACAGCACTTTGGAAAGGCCATGGGAGAAAGACAACAGACATCTACATCCTACTCGAGTCAGGGAAGAGAGGAGTTCAATTAACAAGTTTTGAGACATACTGATTTTTAGAAACAAAATATTGATAAATAATAATATTATCACACTAAACAGCAATTGTGTCTCTTAAGTTTCATATTATGTGTTTTTCTAATATTTTGTATTATACTATAACATACACAGATTTATGTGTAGATTGCTATTTTACAATAGTTCCAATGACTGGCCCTTCCTTTTCATAGTGGCAGAAATAATTTAATACATATGCAGCATATTTTGTTCATCTTTGCTCTTTATTTTTATTATTTGATTTAATCCAGTCATACCATAGATCTCTGAGAATGTTACAGTGTTACTAAATTTCTACAATGTCAAACTCAGCAAACTTTAAGGAAAACATTATTTAGCCACAACTACAGAATGTTATCAGGGTTATGGTAGCTGGGGTATCTGGATGTTAGACATTCCTACAGAAAAACCTGTTAGATAAATCAACAACTGGCAATAGAAGGCCACAAAACAATGTTCACAGCAAACTGAACTGAAGAGAGCACATCACACAAACAAGTCCCTCTGTCGGACACATCAACCTCAATATCTACACGTGTTTAACATCACGGTCATTAATCCCATTGTATATTTTAGATGTTACATGAAGATATATATACAGTGGAGCCGACATAGAAAAGCATGCTTTTGCATATTAGAGGTTTTTAGTAAACTTTACACTAATCCAGTATAGCAGTTTTTCAACCAGTAGCAGATATTTAGACTACAGTCTGAGAAATGACAATTCACTTTTATTACAGATCTTGTGCAATATTAACATGCCTTAACGTTTTATTACGATCAACATCTTTTCACCTAATAGTGTGTTTTGTGTCAGTACACAGTAGGACCTTAGGCATAAAAACAAAGAAAAATAAATACTACTAAAAGCAATACTTTGTTTTGGTTGATAAACACAAAATACAGGAAATAACATAACATTACAAATTGTACAATAGTAATGCAGTTATTTTGTGCCACATGAAACAGAGATATAGCAACACATAAAACAAAAGAGTCACACTTATCGCAGATGGATAAATTAGGATCAAAGCCATGTTAAATGCAAAATACTGCTGCTCTCACTAAAAGACTACAACAAACATTCAAAACCTTACAAGATTTCTAATATTGCCAATCACATGCTCCACTGCATCGCTCTCTACAAGGCCGGCCAATAGCAGTTTTTAATACACTGAGCTTGTGCAGAGCACCTGTTTCACTTCAGTCATCATTATATATCCCAAACAATTGGTCTTTACTGATGCTGAGCCAGGCACGTTGAAGCAGTGGCCTGCAGGAGTTCACAGCCCCTACAAACTTGTGAGCCAAAGTAGAATCTCCATGCAGATTAGGGAAGCCGTAATATACACTGTTTTTTTCACCAGCTGCCTTAGCATTTTATGCACATAACAATTTAAGGAAAAGATTGTAAAGAGGCAAATAACCAATAAATTAACATGTTTAAAGCAATCTGCAAGAAAATAAAATAAAGACTGTCTACTCTATGAAGATTATAAGAGCAATTACAAAACCTAAGCAACTGAGATAACTCTGAGAAGGAAAACTGGATTACAGTAAAACACTGTTATGCACATTACATTATTCTGATTATGTATAGGCTTTGAACAATGATAATGATATTGTAATCTTGTTTAGCTGTAATGCCACTAAACTATTTTCACATTCTTAATCATTCACATCAAGTATCTGGATAAAAATTTCAATACAAACAAAAATCTGAAAAGGTAATGTGGTCAGTATTCCAAACAATAACATTTTGTTAAGAACCATATATTTTATACTGTGCAGTATAAACCTATATTGCACATTATTTACTTTAATTAAATAGCAAAGATAATTCAAGACTCAAATAAATAAGAAAAGGCATAATATAGTGTAACATTATAAGTTCAGGGAGAGATCACCATTCGGAACTGTCCTGCCTCTACATGTAAACAGACCCATTATAATCTTTACCTGGAGCTGGCACCAGGCTCTTCCGTCTACACTAACGACCCAGGACCCCTCATTTCTTGTTCTTGAGCTGGTTGGCGAGCCAGTCCAGGCCCTCGTACAGACCATCCCCACTCGTAGCACATGTGGCCTGGATGTACCAGTTGCGGTGACGTAGAGAGTGGAGGCCAAGTTTGTCTGTGATCTCTGCAGCATTCATGGCATTCGGCAAATCCTGCACAAATATGTATTGGAGTTACTTATAATGTCAGAAGCAGTCGTTACATAACAGTTGAATGACACGTTGAAGTCTTGTACCTGTTTGTTGGCAAAGACAAGCAGAACAGCATCTCGCAGCTCGTCCTCTGCCAGCATCCTCATAAGCTCCTCCCGGGCTTCGTTTACTCGCTCACGATCATTACTGTCAACCACAAAGATCAAACCTGCACACACAATTTAAAGATGCAAATGCGAGAGTTAAATACAAACAGTATTTTTGATTGAAACAATTGAAAGGTGGTTGGTTTATTGTACTGTCTATATATACGACTTTCTTAAGAGGTGGGGCTGTTGGAGGCAGAAAAGTTAAATAGATGAACTTGAAAGCTATTTTGCAGAGATCACATCGTTAAATCCCAACAATTACTGCATATTGTGCCAGTATCAATAAGTTATTTGGTCATGGTTAAACCTTTTAACACTTAATTGATGCTTATTACCATAACCAAAAAAACAAAAAAACGGGTTTTATGTCATCACAATCTTCATCTTGTACAGAATTTAATACAATGGCAACCATCACCAGGCTTTCAGTATGACTCAGACATAAGTATAAAACAGCTGGAGACTGAATGTAAATGACATCATGAGCAATGTTAGTCAGATAAGGCCCCAGGTGTTAGTGAGCGTGTGCTGAGGCCTGTACATTGTAAACCCCAACATGACCCACACCAAGAGCATTATGAGAGTTTATGGCAGTGTAGCTTACCCTGTGTATTCTGGAAGTAGTGCCTCCATAGGGGACGGATTTTGTCCTGGCCACCCACATCCCACACAGTAAAGCTAATGTTTTTGTACTCCACTGTCTCCACATTGAAACCTACACAAAGCACAGCGTTACAAGTAATTCCTCAATGTAGAATGATATAATTGGTATTACTGGACCTCTTACCTATTGTAGGAATTGTGGTAACAATTTCCCCAAGCTTTAACTTGTACAGAATAGTGGTTTTCCCAGCAGCATCAAGTCCTACCATAAGAATCCTCATCTCCTTTTTCCCTATAAGGCTTTTTAACAGATTTCCAAAGATGTTCCCCATGATGACGTTTTTATTTCACTAAGTTGCTGCAGAACTGACAAAAGACATCAGACATAAGGGTAAAAAGTCAGATCATGTACAAAACACAGCAACTTATCAGAAATAAAAATGCAACATTTTACTCATCACATGACCCCCATTGCTGCTTCAAGTCATTTCTTATCTTAAGGCATAGTTGCTCCACAACTCACAAGCATAACCTTAAACCTGTTGTTACACAAATCATAGACCTATCTGATTGTAAGTACATAAAGTAACCACTATGGTAGATAATTAAGCTACGATTATTTTTTTTTATCAGTTTTCTTTTGTTCACAACTAAAATTGATTTTGTGTACACACACACACACACACACACACACACACACACATATATATATATATATATATATATATATATATACACACACACACACACACACACACAATATACAACATAATAGCCATCTGGACGCTTATAATGGATCCATAATTACATCAAACAGCACAATATCATAACACTATTTCCATTCACTTCGGCGCAAAATTGACTTCGTATAATATCTATTCGTATTAACATGGTCTATACAGTAGGACACATCATTTGGTGTACAGCCCTATGTACAGCACAGACGATGCTAGCTAGTAGAGCCTGGCACAGCTGCAGAGGCAGGACATTCATGCATATGTCATAAAGCGAGAGGATGTCGGCTGATCCTGCACCTCGGGGATGAAGCTGGGTCCAGAGGCGCAAACGCGATGCACTTATGTTTTAGCAGGATATAAAATGCTCCATAGATGCTAACTGACCTGCTACACCTCCTCTCTAGTATTAAACATATTTCCGTGTGAATTTGTGCGCTGTAATCCCTTCATGCAGTCACGACACCACTCGGCCTAATGTCGTCGATTCACGGCCTTTTATAGGATATTATAGAACACTGTTAGAATGGCACACAGAAATAACCATCCGCGGTTGTTTAAAAGTAGCCTATATACGTTTATCAAAATTGTCACTGTTTGCATCTCATTCACTTACCCCTCCACGATAAGGCAGACGGGCCACCAACTGCTGGATTCAGGGAAAGGACTCGACAAGGTTCTCGCGAGACAGTGTAGCTGAGACCCTGGATTCTCGCGAGAACTGAGTTTAGAACACCTTGATGTTTTATCATCAAAGATTATTAATGATATTTTTGGTACGACGTTAGGGCTCGTCAGAATTCTTTTACAATGTATTTATTTATTACATTTATAAACATATAACCTTAGGAAAGAAATATTTGATTAAAAAAATAAATAAAAAGCCCATTGCACAAATTAAATGTACAGAAACTAAAGGCACTTGCATGCTATATTAAATCTCATATTAATAGCATTACAAAACTGTATTGAAAGTGTGTAGGGATGCATATTTGAATAATTAACATAGGAATTGTCCCAATAAATAAGTAATTACCTGGCTGTAATAGGATGCCAAGATAATCCAAGGGAGTACCACTGTGTGAGAGTCTAATGAGGCAGTATTGGGCACCTAAAAACAAGGTATCGGAAACTTAATCACTCTACCGTATACAAAAAATGAAGAACTGTTTTAAATGTGACCATCGAAGATTCCATCTTGCACAAGTTGTAGGTGAGTCAGTTAGTGGTTTAGTGATAGATGTGTTTATCAATTCAGTGGTGAAGGCAGAGGGAGGGGAGCAGATGTTTGCAGCTGCACACCAGATTATGGGGTGGAGTGACTGGTTGGGAAGAGCCTGAGCAGGGACTGGAGGGAGAGAGAGAGAGGGTTACACGTGGGTTAGAGAGGGCTTGGTGTAGTGGTGGTATATGTGAAGGTGGGGTGCATGGGAGTTATGACTTAAAGGACCCATTTTCCTCTGAAGTGTCTGCCAGTGCGCACCCTAGCAAACACAATCACAAGTATGGTTGGTTCTGCTAGCTGAACTAATGAGGGCCTGCACGTTGAGGGCAGGGGCTTTGATGTTCTGGGTAGCTGGCTCCTTGTGCTCTCCTCTCTGTCCCACATCAAAAATGAAAGGGGAGTGGAGAAGCAGATGTTTTTGAGGCATGTATTTACACAGCGTACACTTTATTCACCCCCTTCTCCATATAGTCGTACCCTGTTTGCCCCCTTGGTTCTGCATACCGGCTGTATGGATATCTCCACATCTTCATATCCAACTAAACACACTAAATCGCCTTACTTTATACATATAATCATCCTGTCAATCAAAGAGGGTCACTTTTATCTCTCATAACTTCCTCTCTCTCTAATTTGAGCCAAGTCTGGTTGTCATTACTCCGCGGCAGCCATTGCGTTGCTCTGCATTTGTCCATGCCTGCTCCATGAGAAGGATTGTACGGTAAAGAATGGGGAGAAGTGATACGAAAGGATAAAAACTAAACACAAGATCTGTCATGCACATGCAATATGGGAACAATGACAGGAAATTCCCCTTTTGCAACTGCTACAGGGACAAACAACACAAATGAAGAAACCATACGTGCATTCTTATCATTTATACCAGTTTATTGCTCCACTGTACACCCATCATAGTTTGACCAGTGTCACAATATTTTATAACACATTCACATTCTGGCAATAAGGGAATGTCCCACTGCAGATAACCATCTCCATACAAAACAGAGGAGACAGGCTGAATCTCCTTAACATTGCAGTAGTACAGTAAATCCTTCAGGTGCTGACATCTGAAAACTACATCTGCAGCATAATAAACACAAGTGCACTTTTACTACCAGAAATCTGCTACTTGCATGCATGTTTTTAATAAGTCTGCTAATGTCACAAGTTCAAACAATCACACATTAGCAAACTGCAACTGCATACCATATCATTTCCTTTTAAAGTTTTTTTTTTTGTTACTTATATTTTATCCACAATTTTAAAATCAAAATGTAGAAATATATTCATTAATCACAGACCACATTTTTAATCTACAAACTGCAGTCAAATTATCTACTGCTGGGATGCCATTTGAAAAATGTAAATCTTTGAATTTGGCATCATTAGAATCTCAGACACACTTGGTTTTTGAATCCTTGGATATGAACCTAGGACAGATGATCCTTTTGGATGATCATACTAGCAGACTGGTAGATTCCATGATTTAAAACGACCTGTCTTCCTGTCATTTAATGCGCCTCACAAATAAAAGTCATACTGTAGAGAAACAGTCATAAAAAGTTCTTCTATCTCCATAAAGTGGTCATAAAAAGCCTTGCACCTCCTAAAACAGAGCATAGAGCTTACACCCCATTGACGCAGCTACAGAACACTCACCAGCATTTGTTCAGAATGGGTCCATTAGTCAATTTATCATCCCTACAGTGGGATAAATTTAAGGTAACCCTGAATTTTCAATACAACCACTCATGGATTGCTTTTAACTATAAGCCGCAATATGTACATATCGATGCAAAGAAATGTATTTGAATAACTTGCCGTTGGTAGTTCAGTCTTGTATTGAGATTTAGGTACAAAAATAAACAATAACATTTCAATCTCTAAAAAAAATATATAAACTGTACACCTCTCAATCGTGAAAACATATAAGCAGACATGGATGCTGTAGGTTTAACAGCTCAGATAAAAGTGAATGTAGATTTACATAAATACACTAGTGCATGAACAGGTACTGTACACATTTACACAAACAGCTTGAGTGACACAAGGGTTACCCAGGCTTGATAGAGCAGCGTCTAAAAACACAAAAGTGAGGCAAGTGACATGAGTCACCTATTCAATCTCTGACTTGGCATTCTGAGAATAACAGAGGCTAAAGAGAAAATAGATCCCAGATGATGGAGTGAAAAGAGGAACTGTGGAATAAACTGTCACCAGGAAGGTTACACAAGTGGAAAAAACTATGCAGTTATCACAACTCCTCTCTACTTGCACACATTGACCCATTCCGTGAGACGACACTCATCACATAACACGTAGCAGCACCAGTGGAATCTGCAATTACAACGTTCATTTCGAGTCTGCTTTAAAATGTTGTGTCCCCGGCCACAGCACAATGAGCTGCAGCTGTCTGTGTTATAGCTGGTCTTGTTGCAGGTGCGACCCTGTGTACCCAGAGAGTCTACAGATGGGTCATATTCACAAAAATCTGGAGACTTCTCAAAGTACACCAGCTCTCTAGACATAGTGCGGCGCCGACCTCCCTTAAATCCTCCAGTGCTTCCTCTTGCACTATTCCCGAATCGTGGGTTAAAAACACCATTGTTCTTGTTCTGAGAGTTGACAAAAATGGCAGATAAAAATTTCTCCTTGAGTATAGCACCAACAAGCCGAAACTCTGGTGACACATGCCAGCAGGTTTTGAACTGACAGCTCCCTGATGTTCCGTGACATTTGCATTTCCTCTTCATGTTGTCAGTCACTATCTGTGGAGCAGGCAGAACTAATTAGGAATTGTAATACTGAAAATCTTTTAAATTGGTTCTCAGCTTTTTTCCTTGAAACCCACCTTACGGGTTCATGAAACATTCTGGAGCCCCCAGACCAAAAACTGTCCCCCACAGTTGCATTGCATGATCAAGAATATTCTAAACAAGCATTTATTTCAGACAAACATCAACCAATGACCTCTGGCGACCCCACTCCTCAGGTTGGGAACCACTACTATAAATGACAGCACAATAGTAAATCTCACCTGTCGCCCGACTTTGTTGTTGTGCATTCTCATTCGGGCGTGGATATCCCTGGGAGACCCTCGAGTGTCGAGCCAGTCCCTGGCGAAACGGTCCCCAAATTGAACATCATGACTACAGCCGCCCCATTCCCAGGTCTCCTGCATAGAGCTCAGCTCATTGGGTAAAGTCTTAAGGATAACTGAAGGATGAGTAGCGTGAAGGTGAGAAGGCAGGCTGCCATGGAGACCAGTCATCTCAGCAGGAAGTGTACGTGGCCTGCCCACCCCACCCTTCTGCAGGGTCTGCAGCTGCAGCTGAGAAAGTTTTAGACGAATCTTGTCATCGTCGAGTCTGCGTTTGGCCTCACAGCCACAGCCCCGCAGTTTACCCATACTACACGCTGTGGCCACAGAGTGGGCCACACCTGCTGCCAGCAGAGCCAGTGAGAAGGCACTCTCACGGAAACCTAGAACAAAGCAGCAGTAATGTTAGACTTCATCATAATGCTGGTTTAACCTGTGTTACCCTACATACTCATCTGTTCCATTATCAGCTTGCCTCAGACTCTCACCCCTGTTGAGGATGATGTTGTGGTGGGGCAGTTTATCCTGACCCTCCAATGTTGAGCAGTTCCAGCGTTGATCACGGAGCTGATGCTGGCATTCGTGTAGAGCCACCTGAATGCCCTGCAGGGCAGAGGCTGTGACATCAGGACTGCGAACACAGATTCTCATCTGCCTCTTACTAAGGCCTGGAAGCCTCAGGCAAACAGAGTTAGGGGTGAGCACTGGGTCTCCTGCCACCTTCAGGCTGAGGATGTCATTACACAGCACCCTGCACAGAAAGAAAAAAGCTTAGATTTTGGAGGTGTGGAGTGGGTGGATGAGTCATTATATTTGTCAGTTCATTAAACCCACTGAGTGGTGATGGAAAGAAGTTGGACTCGCTTAGATAGTAAATTAATGATTAAGAAAACATCAGCTCTTAAAAAATACCAATGTCGGTGAGAGCAATTATGGAAATAATTACGATAAACGTAAGTTGAAATGTAGCTACCTACTGGTAACCTAAAAAATCAACCACGGATAATGTAATTATTAAGGGGCTGAAAATAAAGAAACTAGAGACAACAGAAGGTAATTATTTACAAACACAGCCAGCCACGACCACGACCACTCAACCGCGTGAACATCTAACTCAGACTTTCTCAAGTGCACTTACTTTACCGCAGGTGACATAAGCGCTGCTGCCAAAATCAGGAGTTGCTCCCAACGGAGTTTGTTTGATAGCTCCATTTTGTTAGAATTCTTTCGCGACGTGACATTAAAACACGTGTTCCCCAGTCTTGTTAATAACAGCAAATAAGTGGACTTTAACAACTGAGGAAGAGCAAAGTATTATCGATTCACCGCCAAACGAGCGAAGACTGAAGAAGGAGAACAGAGAAACTCGGGGACGCGTAAACGGGAGGGGGAAAGAAAGAGGGGAGGGGAGATGCCTCAACGGGCGGCTGTTTGCTAAATATTGGCCGATATAAAAATTGGACTGACAGTTGCTCATTGTTTTGTTTTGGATGTAACATATGTCTCAAGTGTCAAAACGTCTTCCAAACTAAAGTTACGCACAGCCACTATGTACTTGAACGTAACTGCAAAACAATCATGAGCAGTAAATATATATATTTTTTAAATGGTTAAACTTATTTTTTCAAACATTAATGCATTATTAATATGAAATATCAGAAAAAAGCATACAGCTTTCTGAGGGGAACAACGGCTCCAACTGAACGCCAGAAAAGCAGCAGGCGCCCGGCTCTGTGATGACCCCTCACACCGTGCACCCCTCTCCTCCCACTAATTAGTGGCTATTTCATTTCATCAGCCTTTGCACATCATGTACGAGCTTTACAATCTGATCGAGCACCTTTATTATTGTATGATAAGTTAAATTGTATTTTAATTAAATTATAGGTAGGCCTATAGGCTATTGGAATGGTGCAAACAACATGGGGCATAATCATACACTAGTCCCGGCTACTTTAATAAAATTAAGTTAAACCTCCACAGAACAGGGTTCGCATAGTGACACCAATTCATTTAATCTCCTTCCATTCACCAACCTACAGCAATGAAACGTGCATTAGCATTCTGCTTTGGCGTGTATATCTAAGTGGCTTAAAAAGTGATTTTAAGTTGATTTGTATATAAAAGGCCCCCTTTATCCGGATTGAATCTCTAATCTGCTCTGTGTCGCATGACTGCTTCAGGAAACTCATATGAGCACCTTTTTAGAGGCTGCAGTAAAAACGTAGGGCGCTACCATTAAAGCCCTTTACAAAAGCCCACTTCCTTTTACTGTCATCACAAAAAGAGACAGAGAAAGGCTGTAGGCTGCAGCCACGGTGCTGACTAAAGTGGACCATGCAAATTGGTTAGGATATGTCACATAAGACACCGCTCAGCAGCAGGCTGCTATGGAGAAGTCTGGTGGCTGTTAGGGTTGCTCCTGGTTTGGTTAGATGGAGATGCCGCAAAATGGCTCAAGATGTGATTGCACTGCATGGATACATGTGCAGCAATGGAGGTCTGTAGGCCAGATGTTGGGATGGTAATATTCTAACTCACTCATCCTCTCTTACCGGGTCCATCATTGCCTATATCAACCTATTTAGAAAATAACATTTTCAGTCTGATTTTGGCTATTTATAATACTATGCATGTGTTGTTTTTTCCATGGCCTAAATGTATTTATGTTGCAAAGTCTGAAAATGCCCTTAGTCAGAGACTCTGGGAGCATGTTTGGAGAGAGGAGGAGTAGATGCGGTTAGGGAGTAGGCTAATCCAACCATCGGGCAAAAAGGGCAATTTTAGATTCTCATATTTGTACCGTGACAGCAAAAGAAACTACGACGCACAAAAACGGGCGTGCCTACAGCATCTGTGGCAGAGTGCACTCCTGGGCGCTTGGGAAGAACTCCCCTGCATCGTACAGTGAACAGTGATGTGATGGCCGTGAGATTCCACAAGTCTATGCGCAACTTCAAGGATTGTCCTATTTTTTTCTTTGTCTTTTTAAGACCATGTTGTGTTTCCTTATTCATTGTGCACCCTATGAAGAGCATTAACTATCCCTCCCTCCAATCCTATTGAAAAGGCTCGGAAAAAACAGAGGGAGATGAGAGCAGCAAATCCCTTTTTTATTCCCCTCGTAGCGCTCAATAAGAGAAGAATGTGTTGCCTATCAGTCACCGAGGGGATCAAGTCTTCGGGACTGTCCCACGCGTTCAATGCGCTGTGCAGAGCATCAATAAGCGAGACACAGTGAGGAGGGCAACAGCAGCAGTAGCATCCTGCCTGGACACTTGCCGACATTTAACATCCTGTCTCCTCTTCATACTCAAATCAGTAAGGTCTCTGCGTCTTTACCTCTTTACGCAAGGACTGTGCTTGGTGAGTTTGAACCTTACGCCACCATCTTCAATTTATAGGGTGATTATCTATCAGTGCATACGTCGCTTAAGATAACCTTTGAATAGATTTAAGTTAATATTTGTATATAAACTTGATGTATTTCTTTTTATTATATTTTTTTCGTGTGTGCATTTTAGAGTTTTTTTTTTTTACATTTTGAATTAAACCTCTCGTTTGCGGGCAGTGAGGAGTGGACGCAATGAAGAGCCTGGTGCTGTTGCTGAGTGTCAAAGCGGCTTGCATCCTGCTCGTGTCCTCGCTCTCGGGCACTGGGGCCGTCAACAACAGCGGCCGGTGGTGGTGAGTAGCCTACAGATGCCAAAGGGTGCACTCACTTATCAGGATAATTTTAACCCTAGGAGACGCGCTCAGTGCTTCATTTGACTTTGTACTGCTCTCGCGGCTCGAAATAATGTGTTGGTTTTGGCACTCGTCACATAAAAGCAACCACATGATTTTAAGGCATGTGGCTTCAGCTGTGCAGTTTTTTCACGTGAACCATTGCTGTTGTTTAGTGTGCTTAAAATATCTGCACATGCATTATTTTGATTGGAAAAATGAAACACAAATTATTGGTTTCTAAATAATTCTTAATCTAAAGCTACTTGTTTATAGGCCACATTAATTAGGCTACATAATTACCCAATGTTTTGGTAGCCTAATTCTGCAGCAGTTTGAGCTTGAAACCTGTTGACAACACTTATTCAAGATTTTTGACAAGGGTATAAGTGCGCATACTTTTTAAAGTATATCAATTAAAGTAAATTAAGCAAGACTTTAGTAATAAGCAGCGTCCACAACGCCTCTAGGCCCTACTTGTTGTTGATCTCTGTTAAGGCCATCCAAGCATTAGGCCTATGCCTTTTTATCATATAGATACAAGGCCATGACGCACGGTGGGTTATATTATACGTTATGGTACATTTCCAATAAGCCTAAATAAATTTACAATGAAATTGGGAATTTATAGCATTTGCTTAAGAGACACCTGCCTAAAAATACAATGGAAAAAATTCCTGGGCCTATTAGTGGTTAGTGTGATTCTATTAGTCCAATATTATACAAATGTATTCTTTATTATTTATTATAGTCATATTTGTTTGAGTTTGTCAAGATAAAGTTTTTATGTATCTGTCTATGGCTTAATATTATTATTTTTTATTTTATATATATATATATATATATATATATATATATATATATATATATATATATATATATATATATATATATATATATATATATATATACATATATCATTTATTTTATTTTTTTATTGACCCAAAATAAGCTATTCAATGAAGTTCAGATTTTCCTTATGTTGTGTCCAGGGGGATTGTCAATGTGGCTTCATCTTCCAACCTGCTCACTAACTCCAAGAATGTTCAGCTTGTCTTAGACCCCAGCCTGGCTCTGCTGAGTCGACGCCAACGGCGACTGATTCGGCAGAATCCTGGCATCTTACATGCCATCGCTGCTGGGCTGCACACTGCCATAAAAGAGTGCAAGTGGCAATTCCGCAACCGCCGCTGGAACTGCCCGACCACCCACAGCCCAGCAATATTTGGCAAAATTGTCAACCGTGGTGAGCCACTGTTATCAGGGGATATTTGGATGATTTGGGACGGGACGATAAACTGTTTATCATTAAACAATATAATACTGTGTATATGATTTAGTTGGAAATCTTAATTGAAGTTGTGTTTCTTCAGGTTGCCGGGAAACAGCATTTGTATTTGCCATTACGAGTGCAGGGGTGACCCATGCTGTAGCCCGCTCCTGCTCAGAGGGAGCCATAGAGTCATGTACGTGTGATTATCGCCGCAGAGGTCCTGGGGGGCCCGACTGGCACTGGGGAGGTTGCAGTGACAATGTGGACTTTGGCCGTATGTTCACACGCGAATTTGTGGACTCCAGTGAGAAAGGCCGGGACCTCCGCTACCTCACCAACCTCCACAACAACGAAGCGGGCAGAATGGTGAGTAAAGACAGAACAGAGGATTCCAAAAGTATTTCATTGACCTTTCCAAAAAGTAATGTTTCTTTTTTTCTTTTTTTTCATGCAGACTGTGTCATCAGAGATGCACCAGGAGTGTAAATGCCATGGAATGTCAGGTTCTTGTACTGTTCGTACCTGCTGGATGCGCCTGCCCAACTTTCGCACAGTAGGAGACTTCTTAAAGGATCGTTTTGATGGTGCATCCAGAGTAGTGTATGGCAACAGGGGGAGCAACAGAGCCTCTCATAGAGCCGACCCACGACATTTGGAACCTGAAAACTCAGCTCATAAAGCTCCTTCTGCCATGGACCTGGTGTACTTTGAGAAATCTCCAAATTTTTGTTCCTATAATGGGAAGACTGGCACTGTAGGCACCTCTGGAAGAACATGTAACAGCTCTTCTCCTGGTCTAGATGGCTGTGAGCTGCTGTGCTGTGGCCGTGGATATAAGTCACGGACTGAGAGTGTGACGGAGCGTTGCCACTGCACTTTTCACTGGTGCTGTCACGTCAGCTGCCTCAACTGCACCAGCACACGGACGTTACACCAGTGTCTATAATTTCAAGTCTCTTTTTTATCATCTATTAAGATAAACTTAATGGTTAAATGGTGGGCAGCGATGGCCTCTAATGTACTTCAACAGGGTATCCAGATGTTGTAGGTGCTTTAACGCCACCTTGGTGCTTCACATTAATAGGAGGGTATTTCAAGACAACATTTATGATCCATATCAAGGGGACATTCTCCACTCGTCCCATGTTTACACTGTGGATAAATAGGAATGGCGTAAACAGAGGTTTATGTGGTCCAGAATTGATTGCTGTACCCAGGTAGTACTGCAGCCTCTCCCACGACGGCCAAAGACTGGACACAATGTTTTACAGATGTTTCTGTGGCCACAGAGCCACAAACATGTTCTCATAAACTGGTGAAG